TACTTTTCTAATAAAAACTTTCTTAATAAAGTGATGTTCTAATCAAACATGTTCAAAATTTATAATGATTCTAACGGTACAATCAAACTAATTAGATTTAAAAAGAACTAGTAAATATTATTAAATACTTTCGATTCATGCTCTTTTGAAGAGAAATACTATTAATCCATTCAATTAAGTTGCTTCAAAATAATTTAGAATTCCAATCAAATTTTCATGCTCAAAACTCTTCTCTTCATTAATGGTTGTTGTACATATATTTCATGCTCCTGTTTTATAGTACTATTAATAGGCAATACTTTAGTTCAATTAAGTTGTATAGATAGTAATGACAAACAAAAAGAGGTAACTAATAACAAATTAGATGAAATTTTATTAATAATAAAGAGTGCTTGTAGTTGTACACTTTACTACTCTATGACACAAGACAAATTAATAACTTTTTTTTTCTTTAATGGCAATAAACTATTTATTTATTTATTATATTAAGTCTAAAGACAAAGGTTACTCAAAACCTTAACAAAAATATTACAGTTCATTCACAATTAAAAACATGGTAACTTCCCACTCCTTAATAATATAACGGCACGTCTCCTTCCCTTCCATTGGGTTTATCAACCAATCCGACACCTAAATGATATCAAACATTCTATTCTCATCAAACTCAATATCTGTGAACAACTTGTTATTCCTAAAAATTCAATAAGTCGAAATAACAGCAAGCCAAACAATATCCGCACCATTATTGACCTCTTTAGGAGTGAGTGAAAATGTGCCCATGTTGATGAAATGCATCAGGACAGCATCCTGCAATGACAATCTCAATCCCCTACCATGAAACATTCTTCCCAAATTCTAAAAGCCACTTGACAATGTTTACAGGTGAATAGCATTTTCCTCCACCTCATCACAAAAGTCACATCTAGCCAAACACAAAATGCATGATTTCCCAAGTCACAACAAAATACTAAAGAAATACCTAGGTTTTTCCTCTCAAATTTTTTCAATTCAGAAAATAAAATCTATTTAATTTCTCCCAGATTCCTTATTTATTTATTTATTTATTTATTTATCTCTGCTCGTGCTTTCCTTTGAGTTCCTCTCTTGGATCTCCTTCAATTTCTCATGGATTTTTTTATTCCTTTCTTCCATTCTATACAATTTCAGGTTGCCTAATAAATTTTAAAAAGCTTTCATCTGAAATTCGGGAGATATATGTTTGCTATCCATAAATCTCTTACCAAGTTAAAGCAGAAGCTAAGTCCTGGCCACTTGAAGAGTTGATTGACCAAGAACTTGATTTTCAAGTACCCATCTAACAAAACCATATTCAATCAGTATGATAACCAGACTGGATTAAAAAAAAAATGTACAATAAGTTGAAAACTTAACAGAAATCGTGTAAAATTAACCAAAGCTCCAGATTCACAATTTAATTATTTACAATAATGAACATAAATTTATCATCAATATGCAAGAATTGAAAATAAGAGTTCAAATAGACTGAACTTATCTCAAAAGAGAAATTACTTCTTTTTTTTTTTTTATATACTTGAAGCTCTCTGTTCCTCTTTCTTTGGTAGAGCATCTCAAAAAATCCCGTCTCTCACTTATCATCTCAATGCCACCACCAGATCCCCAAATCTTTATTAAGCTCCTATCAGACTCCAACACAACACAATCAACCACAACAACCACTATAGCACGAAATGATAGCCCATGGTTGTCTGCCTCTACAACTCCCTCGCCGTCTGAGATGAGATGGAAAACGAAGACGCGCCAGTGGCTTTAGTAGCACAAGAGGAGGAGGGAGGTCTTCTAACCTGGGCAAGCTAGGGCTTTTTCTCCGTCAATGACGTTAACGCTTCTTGATGACGTTACATGTTTTCTCCCGTTACATCGATGAGCTGTATCCGTGATGCTGAGATGTTGCCTTTTTATTGGTTCGGGATACCACTGACGTGGTATCCCGGTGATATTCTAGACTTTCTCGGAGGGAAGAGGGGAAAAACATGACCAAAAGTAAAAGGCTGACTCTTCTAGAGTAAGGGATGCAAAGACAAGAAATTTGGTGGCTCTGTTGGTTTTCTTTCTAGTGGTAATCCTCAGTCATGATCTTCTTCCTGGTGGTGGCATTTCTCTTTCAAAGTTCATGGGTTTTGAATGAACTAATTTTGTTGGTTGTGGTGTTTCCATGTTGAGTTCTTTTAAGTGATGATTAACGTTTGAAAACTCTTGAATAAGTAGTTTTATAATGAAATACTTCCTTTATATGGTAATTTGGGGGCTAGAATCTTTTATTGGTTCTAATGTTGAATTACTTTGATTTTTTTATTTTTGTTGATTATGTATTAAAAAGTTTTTTAGAATTCTCAAGCAAGAAGACAAAACGAAGGGAAGTCTAAAAGATTCTAAGTCTTTAACATGCTCCAAATGTTTTAGAGGGCAAAAGTGGAAAAAAAGAATTAATGGAGCATTGATATCCTAAAAACGTAAGATAAAATAAAACAAAAATTCTTCCCTAAAATGTTTAATAAAGGGGAACAGAGGGAGTCCTTTTTTTCTAAAATGATTTTCCCGTATCATGTACTTGATAGAATAAATGTAATTTTTTTATAGGCAATAAGAAAACTTCATTAACAAGAGCACAGGAAATATTTAAATTCATATACTTTTTTTTTACTAATTTTTTGATATTGAATAATTATATTACATTTTGATTAATTCGAAATCAAACTCCATCGAACCTCATCTGAAGAGAAACTCTCTCAATACTTATTTTTTTATTCAAAAAACTCAAAGTTAAGGTCTTATTTAAAGAGAATCAAATTTTTTCTATTCAGACTAACAAATTATTAATTAAATTCATATGCTCAATTACATGAATGGAAGTAAATTATCCTCTGCAGTGAGAAAAGAAAAAAAAAAGCAAAAAGAAAATTGTTGAATTTGATTCGGCAGCAAATTATGGAAGGGTAAAAACTCAGAGGCGTCACATGCATGCTAGCAACCTTTTCCCTCTTGGAATAGCTGATAAAGTTTTCTTTAATGAGCAATAAATGAAGATAAGATGCTGATGAGCATGCTGTCCCTTTGTGTTACAAAATGAAACTGCGTGTAAATGAGATGATGGGAAGATGAGCTTTTTACTGTACTATACCGTGTTCACGGAGAATATCTATTTGCGTAAGGTCAAACAATTTGTGGGGCACCCCTAATATTCATCAAATTGGACAAATTTGTAGGCTATATATCCACAATAGGGAAGTCAAAATGGAAAGAAAGAAAAAAAAAAAGCTGAATTCCAATTCCATGATGCCTTAAGTGAAAAATGAGACAAATAAATAATTGAATTAGGACAAGTTAATTACTATGTAATTTGAGAATCAAATTTTCAGTTAAAGTCTATGAATTTTCGAAATATTTAAACTAAAATTATTAATAATAATTAATTTTCCCATTTATATAATATTTATCCTCGCAATTCTATTTCAAATTTTCAATAAAATTCGAAACGTCCCGATATAAAATTTAGGTTTTAAGATCAGGGACTGAGCTGGGTGGGTCCACTTTCCTACACCTGGGTCCATCTTAGTATGGCCTTTCAAGTCACATACCATATACTGAAGGAAGAACACATGGTGTGCTAATTTCCCTCTTTAACTCAGAAAAATACAGAAACTCAAGTTGCAAAGATTGAATTGTCATACTATGATAGAGTTCTAACAAATAATGCCAGATTTGCAAGAGGGATTGCACAGAATGATACTTGTCCTCGTTGCTATATTCATGGAGAGGATATTCTACACTTATTTAAGGACTGTCCAGTATCTAAAAGGATATGGAAGAGGTGGATTAATAATAGTCTTTGGCTTCGTTGGCAGCAGATGGACCACTTGACATGGATCAAACATAATCTTTCATGCACAAATGTTAAGATTGAGTTTGATTTAGAGTGGGGTGTGGCCTTTGCAATTGTTTGCTAGTATCTTTGGCTTGGACGGAATAAAGCAGCTTTCGATGATGACCTTACATGGACCAGCAATAAGGAGTCTATGCTGAAGAATCATTTCATAGAGGCTGCTTGCCTTTTGAAGCAACATCATGCAGGCCTGAGAAGGGAA